ACTATATTTTCAAGAGATACTCATCCCAACACCAAAATCCCCAAACCCAGGGGTTATGAATTTCAATAATTTTTAAAGGATTTCTTGACCACTACCATAACCATTAACCATTAGCATTAGTTTCTCTGATTAATATCCCGGGGCAGAGAACAGACACTTAATTGTTTCGGATTTTTTTTACCTATAGTATAATAATAATTATTATACTATGAGTTAAAAAAATATTTCCTAAACAAGTGTCAGTGGCAGAGAAGATTTTAAAAAAATGCATTTATACTATATATTAAATAGATCCCCTCAACATGGACCCCTGACCCAGGGACAACAAATTCCACAACTTTTGTATAAGAGGCACCATTGATCGTCATAAGCATGGCCCAGTTTATCTTCTTTATATACAGGGGGAGAGGAAGATTATAAAGAATTTATGCAATCTTACTTTATGATGAATAGACCCCCGCCCTTACACCAGAACAGAACCCCTTACCAAGGGGCAAAAATATTCACAATTTTGTACGAAGCAACACATGAGCAGAGAAAAGGAAATAATCCACTATAGCTATATCGATATATTCAAAAGAACCACCCTCATCCCACAAATCCCCTCACCCGGGGCCGCACAATTTTGAAGAGGCAACTCTAATCATCATAACCATGCACCAGGTTTATCTGCTTTATACAGAGTAGGAGAAAAGAAATTTTTAAAGAAATTTATGCATTTTCACTTTATGATCAATAAAGCTGCCCTAAAACCATAACTGCTGACCAAGGGACCATGAAATTAACAAATAGGAGAGGCAACCCTACTCTTCATATTAATCGGCTCAGTACCCAGGAACAGAGAAGAAGATTCTCAAAGAATTAATGCATTTTCACTATATAATCGTAGGAGCCCTGGCATAATACCAGAATCCCTGAACCATGCAGACACAGACATTTTTAACCTTTCTTTACGCAAAGAAAAAAAAGTCCCCATACAATGATTATTATTATTATAGGAAGGAGAATTTTTTAATTTTTGAAAAGAAAGGTTAAAAACGTCAAGCGCCTGTGGATCCAGGGACCAGAAGATTCAAAATTATGGAAGAGGCACCCTTCCTCATTATAAATATTAATTTTAGTTTGTTTAATACCCAGGAGCAAAAGAGAGGATTAAGCAAAAGATGTGCATTTTCACTAGATAATCAATAGAGCTCCGCCTCGACATCAGAACCCCTGACTCTGGGGCCAAGGTTACAATTTAGTAGAGGGCTCAGTGCTCATTACAATCATGCCAACAGTTTGACTGCTTGATGTCCATGTGCAGAGGAAAATATTTTAAAAGATTTTATTAATTTTAATGGTTTTGGCTCCAACCCTCAGCCGCCGGAGGGGGGATGAAATTCACAATTTTTACCCTGTATGCCAAAAATTCGTTGAAAATGGTTGAATGATTTCAGAGAAGAAGCTTAAAATGTTCAGTTCTTATCGCACGACGCACGATGTCGGACGAAATCAGAATGCAAAAAGGTCGCCTGAGTGAGCTCATGATCATTCAAGTGAACGAAATTTAGCTCATTGAGAAAGAAAGGTCACAAAACAAGAAAACAAATATTGGAAATAGATGTGTTGACCTTAGATTTAGAATAGAAACAAAATTCTATTTAGTTTACGGGGGATCAAGTCTTCCGATAGTCTGTTCAGTGGTCTTCCAATATAGGTACTTATTGCGACCTCTTATTAGCACAATTATTATTTTTATTCACACAAATCAGAAATTATGCAGGAAATTTATATGAAAAGAAGTCCCTTTCACTGGTATTCAATTCGACATTTAGATATGTAAATGTACATTTACGGTTTATGAAATTCATTTTTATCCCTCTGTTGACGTTGGACTAGAAACTAAAGACACATTTGACACATATATTTGAATATTTTACTAGATAAACAAACTAGAAAATATCAAACTAAAAATTAAGAAAACTTTATGATAAACGTAATCAACGTTTCGCATACTAGTATTCTATGGTCGCTACAGTGACATTGTTAGCTGGTATAATCTATCGTTAAATTCAATGTTGACTGATGTTTTCCATTCAAATTTTCAGGCCATTATGTTCTCACTGTATTACTAGTATTTACGGTGTTTTCCTATCATGACAAGAATCACACTGTGGTTGAATCGTCAGCAGGGAATGGTTAATCCTCCATGGCTTCTGATCCCACCTCTGATGTATTAAGAGGCCCGCGATTGACCCAAATTTATATTTATTATCTTGATAAGAGCGTATCCTTTCATATTTCATATAAGAAACCGATACAAGTTAGTGGGCAACATCCATAAATGCATATATACTAATCTGTTTTCTGTAGTTAAAAAAAGAAGTATGAATTTGCACTGGTTTCTTTAATACATCTTTACATATATTTCCAATATAATATAAGATGGAGTAAAGTCTTGTGCAAATGCGATGAGGACCTAATTGTTCGTTGACATATAAGGTAAAAGTGAATCTTTGGAGAAAGCATTTGGTCTGTTGGATGCTCGATGTCCACGACTAAGCTTACTTCTGGCTGTTTTGATAAAAATCCCCCTTTACAATAGCACTTTGTGGACTTGAAAAATTTCCTATATCTTGTATGTGATTCACTTATGCTTTACGTCAATCAAACAATTAGGTCTTCATTATATTCAAACTAAAGTCCATTTGGTTCCTTTCAATTTTTTGAAACTTAAGCAAGTCCGAATTTAGATGCTTAAACTGAAGATTATGAAAGTTGCCCTAAACAGTTTTTTTAAACCCAAGACGTGTTTTGGAAGATAATTATGATTTAACCAGTCGGTTCCATAAATGAAATAAATGAAGTTAACGAACAGTATTCAAGCTCAAGAGTCCAATAAACAGTATAAAATAGGAGCAGAGCAAACACAGAAAATCCGTCTAATTCAGTTTTTACATAATGAACTAAGAATTAGTATGAAAAACGTCAGTCAGCATTTGACTCAATGAAACAATGTATTTGCTGACAAGGTCAATGTATCGACCATAGAACTTACAAAATAATGACTTTAAACGAGATTGCTTGCATTCTTGTTTGATCAACGTGTTTGTCAATAATTTACCTCGTTTAAAAAATTGTACATACCGTATATCATATGCTCTTGCGTATTGGATCAACTGAGAGATATAAATTCCGTATGCAGGTGATGAAGGTATATATTGCTGCATAAGTAATGAAAGTTAACGATTGAAAAGTTAAAGTCATCAAGTTTATCATAGAGCTTGGTAGTTGGATTTTCATTAACGTCTTTTTAAGTAAAATATCCAAATATCCAAATAGGAAACACATTTGTCAGACTCTGTAGTATCTTTTATCTCAAGCTCACTGGGATATAGCGTATCGACATCAGAATGAAAATAATCATTAAGAATTGACAATGTGTTGTCGAGATATCTAAATGTCGAGTTGAAGGCAAAATAATTTTGCAATTGACCAATGACAGGGTTAGTAAAATTTAATAACAAAGTATTATTACTGTAATACTTATTGCAATATATATAGCTTCTTCACCTGGATACAGTTGATTGAATACCTAAGAGCATGCTATACATATGAACAATTTTTAAAACGAGGTAAGTTATAGACAAATAAGTTGATGAAACAAGAAAACCAGCTGTCTCGTTTAAAGTCATCATAAAGTCATCAAGTTCTTTCGTCGATACAATTACCTTGTCAGCAAATACAATTCATCATTAAGTAAAATGCTGACTGACGTTTTTCATACTAATTGTTATGGCATTATATACACACTTCCGTTATTTCCCGATCATGCCATGGAGAGCACGGCGGATGTGACCGGTCAGCAGGGCATACTCATCCTCTCCTCCTTTTCCACCATGCTCCTCCATGGCATCAGATCCCACCTCTGATGTTTTGGAAGTCAGCGTTTGCTCTAATCCTGTGTTGTAATAATGTTCAATGGTCTTTTGAGCTGAGATACTGTTCGTCATCTTCATATATATTTCATGTTTTTAAAGAACTGATCTACATATATATTCAAGTACTAGTACTCTGAAGTTGATATCAAAAGGAATCTGGAATTCCTCATTGACAACATTTTTCTAGTTTTCGGAGACCAAGTTTTCAAAGAAACTTGAAATTCTGATGGATAGTAATTATGCTCCTTTAATAACCAGCCTTTTTTTATCTTCCATAAAATTTATCCTGAAACTACAGGAGAAGAAAACACCTGCTGTGACCTTTGTTTCGACATTTAGCAATATCGACGACGTAATTGCTTTCAATTAACAATGGTTACTCACATTCAATTGCCGACCCGATATAAAATAAAAGACAAGAGTCTACTTAGTCTGCATAGTCTTATTAATATGTGGATGTTTAACTGACTATAGACGTGAGGTCCAGATGACAACTACATTGATTTCGTATGACAAACGAGATGAGATCAACTTTTTTCATCGTACACAGCCAATTGTGCCTAACGTTAATTTAACATGAAAATAACGTTAATTTAACGTTAAATATTTAACGTTAAATTAACGTCAATCGAGCTTATACATGAATTTAACGTTAAAAAATTAACGTTAAATTAACGTTATTTTCATGTTAAATTAACGTTAAGCGTTAAATTAACGTTAATTAGTTCACACTAATTTAACGTTAAAATGCATAAAAATTGTGTGCATATTTTTGGAATTTTCCTTCCTATTCTTCCAGAAAAATAAATGTTCTTGCATCATAGCATAAGCTTAACTGATACATGTAATCATAATTATTTATCTTAAGGTACATCAAAAGCTCATCAATTTTGCACTTTTCCTTGTAGCACTGCAGAAAGCTAGGCATGCATGTTGACTTCATCCCTGGTGTCATTTTCTTTTCAATTTGAATATATCCAAAAGGATAAAGGGACCCATCAGCTCTTTACAAAATCTCTAAAATTCTGAGCATTGCCTCCGATTTCAACTTTTCAGAAGAAAAGAGAAAAACACCAATTTATCCATGAATACTTTTAATCAGGCATATTCAATACAATGCTACAAATCTTCTTTCTTTTTCCAATCTGAAAAAGAAGAGAGGCAAACACATATATTATAATAATTATATGAAAATAAAATACTTCAGCAATACATTAACAACTCAAATTTGTCTAAAATATAATGAATGAAACAAGAGGTCCATTGGCCACATCCCTCACCTGAGCACATGGGCTAGCTAAAAAACATAGATCAGTTAAGTATTCAGAAGCTTACGTTATACTTATTGGGGGAGGGGGATTTGAATTTTCTATTACTTGAAAATGTCACAATTAAAATACAGCATACATATCAGGGTTCAACACTAACATTTTTAGGCTTTGGTCCGGCCGGACTAGTGCTTCTTTACTTTTACTAATCCGCGGGCAATTTAATTAGTCTGTCAAAAAATAAATTAATAGAATTAATGTTGCAATTTTTTTTTAAATAAACAAAGCATTTACATTTAATGTTTATACCAAGAATTCGTTGAAATCGCACAATCAGGAACTACAGGGTTCCCGATCTCATCTAAACATCCGACATCTTTTTTTTATGTGTCATACTAAATCATTATCACTAAAATGTTTAATTTCATACCATCGAGTCCTAAAATTAAGCACTGAATTGACTCAGAAATACCTAACTTCCTGCCAAGAAGCTAGAAAGCTAAAAATTAATATGGGGTTTATTATTCCGTTCATACTAATTAGCTTCAATTTTTATTAGTCCGAATTAATGTGTTAGTCTGAGACTAACGGACTAACGTTAATGTCGAACCCTGCATATATTATTTTGCCATACATATCTTTATTTTTAAAGATTTTTCCAACACATTACCTGATCTCCCATTTTGACCCCTCGCTAACCCCCAATCCCTGGGGCATTATTTGAATAAATTTTAATTTTTACTACTTGCAGATTATGTCAATTTGACAAAAATTTTTTTTTCTGTTCAGGAGAAGATTCTTTTTCCTATGTATTCTTATGCAAGTCTGTGATCCCTCATTATGGCCACACCCTAACCCCGGGGGTCATGATTTGAACAAATTGATTCTTTATTTAGTACCTATGGATGCTTCCACATCATGTAAAAAGATTAATCACTCCTGCCCTAATGGTTCTGAAGAAGATTTTTAAAAGGTTTTTCTTATGCATTACTATGTAAAATTTTAGTAGGCCATTGTGGCCCCATCCTACCCCCGGGGGTTATGATTTGATCAAAATTGAATCTTCACTACCTGAGGATGATTCCACATAAGTTCGGAGAAGATTTTAAAAAGGTTTTTCCTATGCATTCCTATGTAAAACTTGGGAACAAATTTGAATCTACACTACAGGGGTCAAGAGGTCATATATATGCGTATCGATAAATGTTCAACAGAATTTCACGGTGACATCATAAAGGGTTGACACGCATTCAATGTCTTGTATATATGCCATCGGTTTTGAAAAATAATGCATTTCCCATGTTAAAAGCCATAAACAGCGTGATTTTCACAAATGAAAATATAAGTAATAAGGTATCATTTTAAAACATCCAACGGGCTATAAATACCAGTTAGTACGAGATTAAATTCATTATAAAGCCCTTCAGGCTTTATGGAATTTAATCTTGTAAGTCATGACCAACCGATATTTATGTCCGGATAGATGTTTAAAAATACCTTATTTCTTAAGTAAGACTGAAAGTCCATTGTGCCCCTCCCCCCTCCCCCCTGGGTTGAAGAGGCTTGAAAGTACACTATCTGAGGATGCTTTCATTTAAGTTCCATCTTTCCTGGCCCAGTGGTTCTTGAGAAGAAGTTGAAAATGTGAAAAGTTAACAGATGGACAGACAGACACCGAACAAAATGTGATCTGAAAAGTTTACTTGAGCTTTCGGCTCAGGTGAACTAAAAAGCTACAAGTATTTAAAAACTATATACTTCCATATATATATTACTCTACAGAAAGACTGGCAAACAGGTCATACTTTCAAAAAAAAAATAAGGGGTGACATATTAAATGGCTTTAAATATTTGATATGTGTTCAGAATAAATGCAATTTACCTGGTATTTTGAAGATTGCTTAAGGTGATGAAATATGTTCACTTTCTTGTGATTATCATGTTCATGTCAGCAAGACTTTATACTGAGTTAACCTACCAGTATACAAAAAAAAAAATAATTAAAAATCATTTATTTGAAATGTAACATCTTCAACATATATGATGATCATAGATAGAAACCAAATTTTATTAGCAGCGTCCAATTCAAAGCAAACTTTTAGTACAGTGAAAGCAACTTGGCTTTAAATTTGTCTCTTTAGCATTAACTATATATCAATTTATAACATTAAATAAAAATTATGAATACACTATGTATATACTATTTTATAAATTAGAACCTTTATTCCTGCATGGTTATCCTGAAAAACATCAATTCAAGGAGGCACCAAGGAATGGTATATAGAGGCTGTAGTCTGCTCTTTTCTCCATGTCTTGTATAAAAGTATCTTTTCTGTATTATGCAGTAAAAGAAAAAAAATCTTGATTTAATAATGCTTATAGAATGTTTCTGAACAAAATATTGACAAGTGTCAAGTAGTGACAAGTACCATGTACTTAACTGGTATTTTAAAAATTCAGTTGGGGTGTGTGAATGTAAATTTCACTGTCATTACATTTACTGTGGGAATTATTTACATTTTGTTCCACTTTCAATACCTGTTTTGAGTTCCACTGGCATTATAATTTAGGCAGCTGGGTTCTTCCGAGTCTCGACGACAAAGTCCTATTTGATCCATTTCAGAAGTGCGAGTCAGATGTGATACCGAGTTCCAGCTGTTTAAAATACAATAAAAATAGATATCAAATCGCCTTTAATCGGTTTTTTTCTCTATAATGATGAAACCAATTAAGAGAACTGTTAGAATCAGGGAAAACATCGCTCACATTGCGTGTTTAACTTCAACTTCGAGATGGTTATTGTTAACTTGTACTGTACACAATTTCTACTTTCACTTTCGAATTTTCTCCGTATCGTACGTAGGGCGGCAGTAGGCTTCAGTGTTCAAACAAATAACCAACTGAACAATAAATAGATCAAATAAAAATAGTAATTCTGATATACAAATATCCAACATAGCAGAGATCTGGCACGTCGTTCACAGCCTACGACACAATGTAAGATTAGACTGATACTACAACGTATCGATAGCCTGCAGTGCAAGGACTGTTGTGTTGAGTAATTATGCGTAATGACTAACGTTGCTGTACATAAAGTTCAAACATTTAGGGACCTCTGAAATTATGAAACCTCAAAAACGTAATATTACAAAGACTACAAAATACTTACTATTAACAGAGACTTGATAAATCCTTTTTCCTCTGTGTTTTCAATTTCTGTTAACAGCTGATGACGTCAAACATGACGTACAGTTTCGTCCGATAAAAACAGAACCGATCCTGAGAAAAGCTACGGACCATATTTAGCCGGAAAAAAATCCAAATCCAAGTGGACATTTTGAAAGATACACATAGAGCATATAATTTTTAAGTCTAGATAAATTAATTTTTTAAGAATGTATGAAAAAAAAAAAATGGACGAGGTGAAGAGGGTGCTAACAGTTAGAGCACCCTCCCTTTCCCAAACCCACACGTGTTACAACACATCCTTACACAAACACATAGGCACTTGTGTCGGAAATACTTTTTGAACCTATGGTATAATACTAACACAACTGTTCTCTTTATATATGTATATTGGCGTTAAAAATTTATTTCCGACACAAGTGCCAATACCCCCCCCCCCCCCCCCAAATCCCGTCGGTTTTGAGTATCCACATATGGACAACTTAATATATAATTAAATGTCACTAAAATGATTGGTAAGTATTGTTAAAGTTAGGTCTAAAATTTGAATAATAACATTAATATCTTGTGTTGTTATAATTAACATGAAATTAACATTAAAGAATTAACGTTAAATTCACATTAACATGAAATTAACATTAACTAATTAACGTTAATCTAATGTTAATATTTTGGTTCTAGTTTTTTAAGACAGAACCCAAGCTCACTTAAAATTTAATGTTAATTTAATGTTAAAAATTAACATGAAATTAATGTTAAGTTAATTTAACGTTAAAAATTAACATGAATTTAATGTTAAGTTAAATTAACGTTAAAAATTAACGTTAAATTAATGTTTATATCTTTAACGTTAACTTAACACGAAAGTAACATTAAAATTACATCAAGCTAACATTAATTTAATGTTAATTGAGATTAACACTAAATTAACGTTAGGCACAATTGGCTGTGTAAGCTTTTCTTATTTATTCATTACCACCTGTATATGGTTTTTGCATCTCCCATCTTACCGGTATTCGATATTCAGGAGCATTCTCCGAGTAAATTGAGGTTTTGAACCGAAACAAGCAACTGACAGATAGGTTATTGTTACAATGACTTCAAAAACCCCGTTTACTTATATCTATCGTTCTTATAATAATTTTTAACCTTGTTATCAAATACCCAGGTATAAACCATTATTGGGTTGAATTTATATAACGTTTTATAATAGAATTAAAATTATTGTTAAGCCTTTATTTATATTAAATTCAATCCGGGATGTTCTGTCTACCTGATCAATACAATACACAGGACTCTTGGTGTGATCGGTCAACATGGGATGCTTACTTCACCTAGGCACCCAGTTCCGTGCACCGCTGAAATTTCCAGTGGTCCGTGTTCTATACTCTACTTATAGGTCTGCGCTGTTCATAGATTTTTAAATTTTTTTATCGTTAACTTTGTTTTCTCTTCACCCTTTTTATTACATCACTTTTGGTATTATCTGGACTTTTTTTTTTATCTTTCTCTCTACCTTAATATTTTTTCTACATATGTCATAACTTAATTTTACTACAACGAAGTATGAAATTGCAAAGACAAAAGTAGTAAATTGGTTACCTATATGTGTAGTAAATCGTGGGTAAAGTAGTAAATGGGTATCTTATATGTGTTTCACTAAGAGTTCGAAATTTAAACCAGATTTTAAGGGTAAAATAAATGGATAAATGTAAAACTTATACATCATGTATATACCACTTTATATACTCGCAAAGAACATGATTGTCTAATCCTTTAATATAATATTGCAAATATTGAAATATTTATGAAAAATTAGTGGAACAAAAAAGAGAGAACTGGGTAGCGAGAGCTTGTCTTCTTCAGATCCATCAATTTTTGTCACCATATCTGAAAAAGTAGTATATAATTATATATAACTTAATTATATTGGCTATAAAACAAACATACTTTTAGCAATATCTATGTAATATCTATGTAAAAGTATTCTATTTTTTTAATTACCTACTCCATTAATGGTGTTGCCGATGTTGGTTAATAAAGTAAGTTATTAGATTTATTATAGCCACCCAAAAGAGCTCATTTTCATCGTCTTGGTCTTTGAGCTGTTTTGCTGTGGCTAGTAAATGATTTAGGCCTTGTCCCCGGCGGTCTCCCCCACCCCCTCCTCCTTTTCCACCGTGTCCACCGTGCCCACCGTGCCCACCGTGGCCTTGATGACTAGAAGACATGTTCTGCAGTATCTAAGTTTCTGTTACAGTGTTGATAAACCGATTTCAAGTGACTCGAAAACAGGTGGTATTTATACACAAATCTAAACCACAAACTTCAAAACAATTTCCTAAAAGTTACTTTTCTTGTGAAATTGGTTTCCTTTGTTCAAAACAACCCGCATGACGTCATATTCCACTGATCCTTATAAAAGCAGGCGGGTTTTCGTCTATTGCGCATTGTTCTGTTATCACATCTTTGATGTATTTGCATATTATACTTTTTATATTTTTTTTTCAGTAAAAAAAAATGTTTTTAAAATGGCCTTTGGCTAGATATTTTATATCTTTTTCATTTTTAAAATAATTGTTTACAGTACCTTTTAAAGGCAATCTTTTGTAACAGTTCTTTCTTTCGGCAAGTTGTAGTCGGTTGTGCTTTTTTTCTTCATTAGTACTTCTGCGATGTTATATTTTATGTCTTGTATGAGAGAGAGAGAGAGAGAGAGAGAGAGAGAGAGAGAGAGAGAGAGAGAGAGAGAGAGAGAGAGAATGTATGTGTTTGTTTGGCCTGATGCTGCACTATACCTTTGTTTCATTATCTTCATCTTCTTTTCTGTAAGCTTGATAATGTCAAGTCTCACAATATCTGCTTCAGTGTATGAACCTATAGAATACTGGTATTATACAGTGTATGACCCTATAGATTACTAGTATTATACATATCTCAAGAAGTTTAAATTCAGTTTATTTAAATTTGCTCAAACAAAAATATTGATACATGGCATAAGGGGTATGATATAATACCATTTAAACATTTTTATATTTTTCTTTTTATAAAAACTTGTGAGAGATACATATACATGTGCAATATAAAAATTACAAAAAATGAATAGAAATTTAACAAAAAAAAAACAAGGAGGACAGAGAGCATAAGTAATTTTAGGTATTAACTAGTAGTTTTCTCAGGATGTTTTTTTTCCGTTTTGGGTTGTTATTTTAAAAACATGGGTCTTTAAAAATAATAATTATTCAGATTATCTTTTCATGTATTGACTAAAGCTGAACATTTTAATATTAAATCAGCAATTTTTCAGCATCGATTTAAGTTTTCCATCACGTGGTTTTTACACCATCTACCAGTTTCTATACTGGTAGACGATTATTTGAAATCCGGCAATTTAATTTTGAGGGTTGAACTAGTAAAAACTCATTCTCATGCAATCTGGCGTAGAAAGAATGGAGGCGTACATGGAGAACAATATCCCGCTCTAAGAAAAAAAAATTTCAATTCTAAAAATACACCAAAAAGTTTATTTTTCCAAAATTGTATTATTTATATCATCTTTTGCAATTTGCTTCCTACAGTTCCTTTCCTTATATTAATTAACTTATTGATAACTAATTTTAGTTTTCCCATGTTTTTTAGGTATGTAAAAAGAAAAAAAAGAGCTTCATAAATGATTCAAAATCTCTCAAAACTCAAGATTATCTGTAGGCATATGAGGAAAAACTGAACGCGTTAACCAGTATGCTACGAGGTGATGTTGATGATGTGTGTCAGTGTGATTTAAATATTAGTAAAGGAAGTTTTTGAAGCATATATTTTTTTCTGTATTGTTCGGTTTTCATATAAAATTGGTTCAGAATCCATTTTTGAAAAGAAAAATAGATATTACATTTGCTTTTCCGTCATTTAAACGTTTATGTAATAAAAACTTGGCACACTCATATTTAAAATTCATTTATTATATAGCTTTAATATACACATTTCCATTGAATAAATGCCTACTTTATATAAAAAGATAGATTAATAAAAATATTGATAATTTAGTCATTCAATAAAATAAACGACACAACTGTGCTGAAGATGACATTATTGACAGCGTGCTCTTAGAAATCCTTAACATTTATGCGAATGTTGAAAATTGAGAAATATATTGTCCCTGAGCCCAGAAGGTCTAAACGCCCTTTATTTCTATGGGGTAAGCACATGTATTTATATATAATAATTGAATCATTCATAGTCAGTCACTTTTGGCTGCTGTGCCCGTACCTCTTACAAAAACTGAATTAATATTTAGTCATAACATTTTTCAAAGGTTTACAAAGTTCCATCGTCGGAAACTCGTGATCGGGCTCGCCTCTCTTGAGGTAAGAGGCAACCGAACCTGGGTTTCCATCAATGACAAAGTTTTTGACGTTGTTGCATTTTCTACTTTGGAAAACACATAGTAGCAAAAGATAAACCATATTCCAATTTAAGTATACGTTAAGTATCTGTTTTAATTTGGGTAAAGAAATTTTTTTTGGCTAGCTTAGGCTCTCTTTTTTTCAAAGTGAAAACAAAGTTAATTTTTCCATTTATTTCGAGTGTAATAGCAAGTTGCAGTCACTGGGCAAATCACCTTGAGTAAAATAAACTTACAATTTACAATTCACACAACAATTTGCCCTATATGTAAACTTTTTCTGAATTGTCTTGCTTTTAAATTGTCTCGCATGTTTCCCTATCAGTTTCAAGTCAACAACCAGTCAGATTAAAATAAGATCCTTTGATCCGCTCACATAGATCGCTGCACAAGGTAGTGATCTCGTGTGAGCGGATCAAAGGATCTATTTTAATCAGATTTAATCAACAACGATTGTACAATTTTATGTTCACAACATTATTCAACGTTGGGGTAAAGTAACTTTTATATACATAGAATGTATATACCGGTATTTATATACCAGGAAACCGCAACTAACCGTT